GCTACCTGTCAATCCCTCCTCGGGCCAACATCGCGACCTTCTTATTGACACAGTCGCATGACCATATCGGTCCCTTCTTTGGCGCTCTCAGCTGCTGTTTATCTTATTCGCTCGTGACATCTGTGTCTTCTTCTTCCTTTATGCGGCGAGTTTTGGCTGCCGCTTTGCTTCAATTCGTCACGATTAAAAAGTCACAACTCAACCAACAACGCGACCTGCACCATCTAGTTGTTTAATTGCAATTAGATCTAAAAACAGAAGTGTACTTGAATCCATAGTGAAAAAAATTTGCGCATCCTGCAGTGGATCTTCCAAATCAACACATAGTCCCTTAGAGTTCTCACACTCTCTCTATTTCTGGTGACGGGATAACAACATAAACAACTGTACATATAATTTTTGGATCATAACCGCCTATTTATAAGCATAACCTACCTATTAATTTTTTATATTCATAATTTGACCCATAACAAAATTAGGAATTATATATGTGGTCTCTATACATAGAAATAAAGCTCACACTTTAATTTGATGTATTAAGACCTAATATACTCTTAATTGTATCAGATTACTTTTAACCGAGCCTCAATTAATTTGATAATCTTTTTATGCACAATATTTACACATATAGACACAGATAGTAAATTTAAAATCCAACACACGCAAGTTTCTCATAGTGAAATAACCATTATGAGTGGACTTTTAATAACCAAATATCTGAGAGATAAGATAGTTTGTGATACTTAGTGCTTGATAAAATTTTTAAAGTGTTTTAAGAGGACTTTCAAAGTAAAGAAAACTTATGGGCAGACGATTAATATGTAGGTGGTAGTAAGGATAAGTTTGCCTGAATATTCTTATGAGACATTGTTTTGAAAAAAAAAAAGCTCTAGTAGTGGTAAAAAGGTGATTATTCTTGTGTTCCATTATTCTACTATGTTGTGGAGTGTAGATGCAACATGATTCATGAAGAATTCATTTTTTGTGGAAGAATGATAAGTGTGTGATTGAAAAAATATTTGGAATTGTCAGTATGAATTTTTTATGGATGCTCCAAAATTAAACTTTTATCATCTTGCAAAACTGAGGTATGACATAGCCAACATTAGATTTGGCTTTGATTAAAATAGACCGGTGACTCTATTATAATCATCAATAAATAACAAAAATAATTGAGTCCTGAAAATATTATGTATATGAGATGATCCTTTAAATACCATTATGGATTAATAAAAAAGGAACTAAATTTCGTTTATTACTAATAGAAAATTTAACATGTTTATGTTTTGCAAAATCACATATATGGAGTGTAAACTTCTATATTCTAAATTCTTAAATAATAAGGAAATATGACCTTTAAAATGAAGAAGATGGGTGCCTTAAGTCTTTTATGGTAAAACCAAATCTTATTTGTAAGGTTGGTAGTAATAGCAAATAAGGATCCCCTATGTACATCTAAGTAGTAGAGTTTGTTTCTAGCTTCAACATGTCCAATTTTCTCCTAATTCTGGTTCTGAAAGTCACAGTGAGAAGAGTCAAATACAACTTTGCAACTCAACTCTTGTAATAATTTATTTATTTATACGAGATTAATACATAGTTTAGAGACATGTAAAACATTTTTTAAGACATTGATAGGGCCAAGTTTAATATCGTCGTTGATGCAATAGTATTAAGGGAACTATCTACATTAACAACCTTTTTATCACTTGTACATGGAGTGTATGTGTAAAAATGTTTAGGAATATTGATCATATGATATGTGTCTTCTGAGTCTATAATCCAAGAGTTTTTAAATTATTTATTTGAGTAATTTAGTTTCTATGAGGTAAAAGTCATATATGAGTGTGCCAATAAGTTGGTACCTATTTGTTTTTCTAGTGACTCAAGTTGTATTCTTAATCTTTTCAATTTTCACTTTAAATTTACTAAGATATGATGTTTCCATTTTGGGATTTGCTCCACTAATTTAAGATGTAGTCTCCGACATCCTTTGAGAATTAGCTAGTAATTAATTATCGAAAAATTTTCCGAATAAATTTTACCCAGAATACGTGGTTGCATGAAATTACTTACATCTAGTCACGATAAAGGTGACAAAGAGGAGCAGGTCAGGAGTCATGACTTGTTATCGATGGTGAAAGTGCTTGGCGACAGGAAGGTGGTGGCTAGTTATGAAGGCTATCTCCCTTAGG